AGTGTGCCTCATAGTTTAGCATCCACCGTGCGCCCCAGATCTCAGCCATGAGATCCATCATCATACAAATCTCACGCTCCAGCAGTTAAAGACTACCATGTACCATCAGAGGAGAGAGGCACATAATCACACGCAGGAGTGGGCTCAGCCATAATGGGCCTGGATAAATTCAGAAACGCACCCCCCTATTTGCTCATCTTACAGGCCCAAATTCTATTCTTTTTTTTATTTCAATTTTTTTATTACTTATTAATTATTTCTTTTTTAAATAACACCCAAAATCATGTTTTTTTTTATTTAATCAAAAATCATAAAAACATCAAAATCATTTTTTTTATAAAAATATTTTTATTAATTAATTAGTTTAATTAAATTAAGGCAATTTAATTCTCTTTTTATTATAATTTAATATAATTAGAATTAGGGTTTAATTTTGTACATAACCTAGTTTTTTCCTCAAAAATAACCTAAATATTTTTTCAATTAGATTTTAGGTTTTCCAATTATTTGTCGCATTTAATTCGCCGCACATGCCTTCAGTTTTCCTTTTTTAATTATTATTGTAACGGCTCCGAGTTTGTAATATGTTTAATTAAGGTTTTAATTCCTCATTTTATTTACAGTAAAAATGATTATGTATCTGCCCAAAGCCTTGTAATAGCTAGGACTCTAGTTTCTAGCATCTTAATTTCCGCAAACCATAAACTGCTTAGATGTATGTATAGGATTGTATGGAAAGACAAATTGAAATTAAAACGGTAGAAAACTCTAATTGTGCAAAGATAATTAATTGAAAAAATACACTTGCACATGCTCACTCCTAGGGTTTACTCCACTCCAGTTGCCTTCGGTAAACGGTCATAAAGTATAAGGAATGTTAGTGGTCGTCCTCTAGTCCCAAAAGATCTAAAATGACCCATTCGGATGTTGCCTCGAAAAAAGATCTTTAAGGCTATAGGATGGTTACTAAAATTTCCTAACATTGCTTTCATGATCGTACTTGTCCCTTCGAACGTCCCTTAAACTCCAACGATGGTGCTACCTATTCCTTAATAATAGGATAGTGTTGTCTAAAGGAAAACGAACAGACTTTTTCGAGTAGGTAGATTAGTTCCTAGGTACTTTCTCAAACAAACAAATTTTACAAACACTTTTCAAAATAGTTTTCAAAAGAACTTCGCCACACTCTTGAGGACTGATACAAGGGTTATCACAAAGTAAAACAAAGGCTTTCAAAACAAGCACACATAAGCAATTTTAAAAATGAGCAAAGTATCTAAGAGCCCATGGAAAACCATGGATAGAAAGGGTGCTAACATCTTCCCTTTCTATAATCCACCCCCCGTACTCAGAAACATCTTGAAAAAGGTTTTTTCTGTTCTTTTTCCTTTTCCTTTGATTGGATAAAATAAAATTTGGTGGCGACTCTTGCTTACCGTGACATTTGCGAATACAAAACGCAAACCAGTATAACAGTCGGTTCTGCCACCGTATCACAACTATTCCCGACCAAAGTACGAGGTGATTCAAAATATGTTTGCAAACCCCTAAAATACACAAACACCATACGAGCTATGAATTGGGACTCTGATTCCTTTTAAGAGGATACATAGGCATACGATCGAAAATCGTAGTGAGTTCTCCTATTAAAAATTAAAACTCTTTCCACTATAAAAAATTAAAACCTTTTCTCCTAATTAAAACTTAAAGCCCTATTTTACCCAAACCTCAACCTAAAACCTAGTATCCTTATGAAAAAGATAGATGAAAGGTGCCTAACACCTTCCTTTCGTCTAATTGAGTCTGAAACCTAGAATCTCTGTCTGCGAAGTAGGGTGTTCTGTTAGATTCTCTTCCCTAGGATAAAAACTAATAGTGGTGACTCTTGATTTAAAAACCGGTTGCTACAGTTGGCGACTCTGCTAGGGAGTTCAACTTTAGGTTTTAGGGTTTTTACTTTGGGGTTATTTATTTATTTATTTATTGCACTATTTATTTATTACATTATTTATTTATTGCATTTATTTATTTATTGTCGATTCTTTTTATCATATATTTACTGCATGGCAGGAATTTTTATTTGAAAAAATATATATCTTTTCAATAACCCTTAGAAAGAAGGTTCGTCTATTAGCTTAGGGGGTACATCATCCCTGCGAGTTTATGTGACGACTTCGCCTAGAGTCGGTGAACTTCCGAAAAAGGAATACTCGTCAAGAGATATCCTCTTGACGAGTAGGACTTTAGAAGGACACCCACGACTCTTTGTAACGACCTTAACCTAAAATCTCATGACGAGACCTTTCACGACTTTGAGATGGAAGTCTCAGTTTGTAAAGAGGCTCCACCTAAGGGAGGCCCTTGTGCTTTTTCCCTCTGGTGTTATTCATGATACCCTTAAAGAAACCACCTTTTGGGAGTGTAGATTAATCGTAGGTCAAAATTAAAGAACCTACCTTCTAAGGGTACTTATCACAAAACCCCGTCACTAAACCATACATCCCAACCTTACAAGGGTACTTATCATAAAATTTCGTTACTCAACCCTACACCTATGCCTTCATACATTCGTCATACATTTCATATATTCGTCACCCGTTTTCTTTCTATTTGTCTTATTCACAGGGGGTACAAAAAATAATAATAAACTCAATATTTTTGGTGACTGTCCTTAAAGATGGATACCAAAGGAAACAACTTGTCCACGCCAATACGCCAAACATGTTTGAAATCAAAGCCACAAAAGGGAAATAATGTGTTGAAGACTTTCTCAAGCTTTTTCCAGCAATGGGGATGATTTCAAGAGCAGACGTCCGCAAGCGCACCAGGAAGACTTATTTCGCTTGGTTCAATTTCATGCAAATAAGTTTTGGTTTAAGATCGTAATATTTTTCAATATCTGAATTATGTTATCTTCAATAAATTCATTTTGTTTCCACATCTCGTTTGCGTATCTATTTTAAAGATAGTCACTGAAACAACCGGCTAAACAATCAACTGATAATGAAATCAATGAAGTTCCCATCGAACATTTTTTATCCCACGTGAAGGGAATGGTAAACATCGAGTAAACCTGAGAAGGGTGAAATCACGATCAAACGACCAAGAGATCAGGTAAGGAAGTCTGTTACGTGGGGGGAAGGTATTAGAACCCCACACGCCCATAGTACTCTACTGTATCCACTCTTGTAGTCTATCTTATGGGTGTGTTTCAAATCTATATCTAAGATGTACATGGCATGCATGCAAAAGAAAGGAGAAAAGAATGTAGGGAAAATAAAAGTTGTGCTCGCTCAGGCCCTACCGCAATGCCTACGTATCCCTTTTAAGGAATCAGAGCAGCCGTAGTTTGGCTATTAAGTTTTTGTTGGTTTGTATTTTTTAATGAACAATATTAATTTTGCCTTCTGCCGCAACTCGACCTTTGGAGATTTACGCGTCAACACAGAAGTGAATTAACATGTTCTTTCTGAAAAGTTTGAAGGAAAAGCCCGAAGACGGGAAAAAGTTTATATTGATTGGTATTTTTTACCTTAAAGAAGGATTTGAAAGTTGTTAGATGTTTTATGCTTTTTCAAGAAAAGAGTTTTAGTCTTAATGCATGGATGCAAAAGAAAGAAAAATCATCTAAGGGAGACTAACCTAGATCTATCCCTAATGTTATCATATAATGATTGATCCTAAAGTTGAGTTTTGAAGGGAAATATCTACCCTAAGTTGACGTGCATGGATAAAAATCCTAATCTCTATCTCAACTCATCATCTATAGATGAATCAAGAAGTCCTAAAGGAGAATAGCAAGGGTGTATCACCTAAAACTATGTCTATCTCGAATCATCATCTATAGTTGAATAGAGAGCTCCTAAGGGAACATGCCGAGGGTATATCATCTCAAAACATGCACACAAAGATGAAATCAAGCAAACAAGCCAATAAGCTCAAGAGAACACACCTAGAGATATCCTATCTAGGTTAACATGCCAAAGAAAGTCTAACAAGACTATCCTACAGGGAACATACAATGAGAGCGAAGTCGTGATCTCAATTTCTAAATCGAGTGACTCATCGATCAACAAGAAATAAAGGAAAGCAATGAAATCCTATATGGAGCATGCATTGAGAGCAAAGTCATGATCTCAATTCCTAAATTGAGTGGCTCATCGATCAACAACTAAGGAAACAAACACAAGTACAACACATATAGAAAATGAAGTGCAGAATGCCTGCTACAGGTCTTTAAACAGCGACTTCGAGCGCACACTCTTTATTTCCTACTTCTCATGATATCTAGAAAGTAGTAAAGTACTGAAATGAGATAAACAAGGGAAAATACCAAACGAATATCAATTCGTAGCAAATCCTATCAAAACAAAGAAACCAGAAAAACTTCGAGTACGCTTCACCAAGCAAAGAAAAGAGTCGGAAATCAAATGCTCGGGATAAGCGTCGAAATATCGGTGATGTGAAAATAAATAACAATCAGAATCTCAAGAACATCTGCATATCCTGCATAAAACTCAAATCTCAACAAGCAAAAGCAAGTCACTAACCCTTGACAACAAAATGATTACTAAACATAATTGATAATAGAAAAATCTAATCAAAATTCTAGAAAAGAAATTCTAAAGAAATTCTATTAAACTCTATTATTCTCTATTGTATTTATTATATCAATCCTTTATCAAAAATTAATAAAAGAAAATCAAAGAAAATATTTGAAAGAAAAATGTTAAGAAAACAAGATTATAGGGGATGTGAACCAGATTTTTCGAATGAAATTGATGTGTTTTTAAAAAAACATTGAGCCTAAAATGATTGGGGTGCAAGCCCAGCTCCACTTTGTTTCTTTCTCAAGTCCAAACAAAATAACCAGAGTAATTGTTCTTCATTATTAAAATGAGAAAAAAATGAAACTCCATTGAAACGAGGCGTTTGGGAGGGTTTAGGGTTAAAAGTGTTGTGCCCTTTTAACTTACACGAAGAAAATCTCCTCCTCCCTCATGAACTCACTAGAGCTGATAAACACCACAAACACCTTCCTCTTCGATCAACCCCCGTCGTCTCTGTCTCCTTTGAACGCCTTCTATTATCAACTCCCTCATATTTCTGACTCTCTCACCGCTGTCATCACCTTCATCCATTCTCCGTTCAATACCTACCGCCGCCTCTGTATCCATCATCATCGTGGTTCTACTCTCAATCATGATCTTAGTGCCTCCGCACACGATTCGCACAGTGAAGAAAAAATATGAAGAAAGTGATATCACTTACCTATCAGAGAACTCCGGTGATTCTTTGACGGCGCTAGTACACAAGAAATCCAGAAAAATACCTTTGACGTGAAATCTAGGTAAACATCTCGTAGATCTTCTTCTTCAATTTCTCTTTCTATTGTTATGTTGTTGAATCTATGATATTGTGCGTTATTGTTGATTCACCGCAGCTTGATTAAAGGACGCGCATGGATTATTATTGCTTGCATGTGATGAGGCGGTTGTCGAATTGTGAATAATGCAGAGTTCTTGCTATGCAGAAAAAATGGTGTTGATGATGTGATGAATTTTCAGAGATTTGGAGAAGGTGAAGGCTTGCTGAGGTTGAAGGTGAAGATGAAGGTAAAAGTTGAAGAATGAATAGAAGCTGAAGGTTGAAGGTGAAGTTAGATTATGGAAGATAGAATTGAAGGGAGAATTGAAAAGTGATTCCTTTCGGAATTGGAGAGTGGAAGCAGAAATTTGGGGAGACCTTTTTAGAGAGAGTTTTTCTGGTGATTCAAGGAATGATGAAGTAGATGGAGAGTAAAGTTTGGGAGAGGAAGAAGAGAGAATTTTTTTATTCTTCTGCCCGTTCAAGGATGAAGCCCCTGCAAATTGAGTTTTTTTTATTTTATATTCTGTTAGGACCATTAGAGTTTGTTAGAGTCAGTTAGGAAAGGTTAGTTAGAAATTGGTCACAGATCTGTTAAATTGTTAGTAGTTAGTTATTGACTGTTTTAAAGTTAAGTTGGAGGATTTCTGTTATAAACTGAATGGTCAAGATTTATTATGATTTTTGAGTTAGTTATATGTTGATTAGCTAGCCAATTTTCTGTTATAACTCGGTTAATGAGCTGGCTTAGATAAAAGAAAATGTTAGTTGCAGTTAGTTTCTAATTCTGTTAAAGAATTGCAAATGAAAACAAATGGCTGCAAGTTGGAAAGTTGTTGGCTCTGTTATTTGATAGGTTCTTGTTATAATCAGTTATCTTGATATTTGTTAAAAAAAGTTAGAAAATCTGTTAGAGTTAGTTGTGAAATCCGTTAGGAATGTTTAGACTGTTAGTGGTTAGTCATGGGCTGCTAATTTGTTAGTTCTGCTATGAAAAGACTCTGTTAAAGTAGTTGCTGTTAGGAAGTCAAAAATCTGTTAGAAAAATAGCTAGTTATTTTCCTGTTAGAAGCTAGCTGAAATTGAAGGTTGTTAGGTTCATTTTCTTTGAAAACCGTTATTTTGTAAATAAAAAACTGACATCGAGTTAATTTGAAAAAGGTTATGGAAAAGATAGTTGAACGGTTGTGAATCTGTTTGGACTAGGTTAGAAGAAATTTTATTTGAAATTCCGTTAAGTGTTAATTGAAGTGCATTTCCAAAGTTAAGATTAAAACAGTTAGAAGTTAGTAAAAACGGTTAGAAAATTAGTTTAGGTCAACTAATATGGTTAGTATGCGGACCCTGCTAAAACTGATATTATTTCTATGATGTGCAGGGCCGCAACTACGAAGGCTTCGTTAATTAATTTGAGAAGCATCAACATATCCAGTGATTTTTGCAATGAGCATAATCCCAAGCTATAATTCCTTCTCTCCACTCAGCAAAACTAATGTTGCAGCACCATCACTTATGCTAGAAGTATTGCCAGCAGTAACAGAACCTCCAGTTTCCTTGAAGTTTGGTCTAAGTTTGTGTAACCTTGCCCAGGGCTGCAACATGATGAACTCTTGGCGTAGGTACGACATATTTTCACAAATATGGTTGGAGCTTGAAATTTGGCATGAAATGGAATGGGTTTAGATTTAGGAATGTACTTTTGGTGTAAATTTTGTCTTATGCTGTAATGATATATTGGCGATGGAAGTTGTAAATCACTTTGTAAATCACTTTCAAGTAATGGAACAATTCCTCCTCATTTTGTGCAGATTGAAAATTAGATTTCAAATCTCTTTCACTGATCTTACTTTGTAGTTCTTTAAAAGAGAATTCAATTGGAACTTGGATGCTTTTGAATAAATCTCAAGATTTGTATGAAAATCCTGGTCTCAAATGTAATTTTTTAAGCGAATTAAATGGTTCCATGGAAGTTTCATACTCTTCCTTGAATTGCATCTTGAATAGGCCTTGAAAAGTCTTGTTATTTTTCATAATGTATTCTTTATACTTGCCATGCAATTATTCATTTTTCCATATTTGGATCCATAACCATGATGAGGTGAATCCATCCAAACAACATGACATGCTCAATCTTTGATAAAACTCTAATTAACACTTGAATCTCGAATTCATCATAAATTACACCCTAATCCAAAGTTGATTGTGGAACATACACCAAATCAAGATTAGAGGTGAATCCATATTCTTTCTTGTTATGTGATAGTTATTAACAAAACGTCATCTCAATTGATGAACACCACATAAGAGTAGATGTCTCGATTCAAAAACCAGGTATGCCAGTTCACAATTATGAGTTTTTAGAAGGAACCCCCGGAATAATGACTTTGTGAAACAAGTAGCTAGAGTAGGACCTTAGACGAGATTCAAGATAGCTATAAGATCTAACTATAATCCCCTAATCCTCTGTTAGAGCACAATGTGTTAAAACCCTTACCATTTGGATAGCATAGAGAAATAAACCACAATTCATGAATTTGGTGGATCCTGATGAAGAATAACCTTTGAAGAAGAGGTTCCTGACAACCACACTTTCAAAACCCTAATTCCACTGCTCAACGTTTTGAAGAAGAAATCATCCTTTATTGGATACGCATACCTTAACCAGTGTAAAACCCTAATATTGCACGACCACTAAACTTTGATCCTCAAGCGCTTTATTGAATGAAAATGCATGTTATGTTAGTGCAGATGACCTAATGAAAATATGTGAATGCAAAAGCCTAAGCCTAAGTCAGATAAAAAGAAATTATGAGGGCAAATTTTGGGGTGCAACAGTCACCAAGGAAAATAATAAGCAAAAGACAAGCACATACCCAAGTGAATAAGACATTCAAAACAAGTAACCATTTCATATTCATACATATTCATTCGCATGCATGCATTCACAAACACCTGCATATCACATCAAAGCTCATTTTTCAAAAAATCTCTCCAGTTGAACCATTGGTAGAAGAAGATCTCGACCTTCTTGGCCTCTATATCAAACAAGGGCCTATCAACAAAAAGCAATGAAAGGGTGATGTCACTTCAATGAAAGGGTATCTAAGTTAAGTTCTCCTAACTTTGAAGAACATTATTGATAGGCAAGACCAGATTCCCAGGGCAGCTTTCGAAGAAGTAGCCCAAACGATTGGTGCATCAAGCGGTCACCAACTAAGGAAAGAGCCAGAAGTAGGACTCTAAAATTCTGTCATGGCCCAACAAGAAGTTGAAACTGAAGGGTTTGTCCCACCGCCACCAAAATCCGGGGCATCACGTACCCTACAGATTCCAGTCAACAATACAAACAACTACTTGGACATGCAATACGGACACCACAACCCAGAGGATACCAACCAAGTGCCCTTAAAGACGACTGGTACTCATGCTAATGATGATCCACTGGTCATAAATCAGTATAAAGCTCTGGAGGAAAGATTAAAAGTTGTGGAGGGTTTTGATGTGTTCGAAGTAGACGCTCTCAAAATGGGCCTAGTTCCTGATGTGGTGATTCCACCAAAGTTCAAAGTACCTGACTTTGAAAAATACAAGGGGCTCACTTGTCCAAGAAATCATCTTCATATGTATTACAAGAAGATGCACGCCCATGCCCACAATCAGAAGCTGATGATTCACTATTTTCAAGATAGCCTGAGTGAGGCATCTTCAGACTGGTATATGCAATTAGAGAGGACGCATATTCGAACCTGGGCAGATCTTGCTAATGCTTTTCTAAAGTATTACAAATATAACCTAGACATGGCGCCTACCCGCATGCAACTCTATAATTTGTCCCAGAAGAAAGAAGAGTCCTTCAAGGAGTATGCTCGGAGGTGGAGGGATTGGCATCCCATGTGCAACCACCACTGTTAGAGAAAGAATTAGTAGACGCGTTCATGGGGACTTTGCAAGGGCTGTATTATGAGAAGATGGTTGGAAGTATCTCTTCGGGGTTCTCAGAACTAGTAACCATCGGAGAAAGAATCGAGACTTGAATAAAAAGTGGGAAGATATCAGGGGGACCATAAAATACCCCATACAATTCAAGAAGGCATGTTTCAAACGTCTCCAAAGGAAAAGAGGGAGAAATTAATGTTGTAGCGTCACAACCTAGGGTACAACAACCATTAGTGATCCCACCAGGGCAGCAGCAAGGCAGAAGGCCACCCAGGAAATTTGATCCACTCCCTATGCCACCTAGCCAGTTATTACAAAAGCTAGTTAAGGCATCCTTGGTGGAAATCAAGCCTCTAGCTCCTCCAGTCGGGCCACTCCCACGAAGATACGATGCCAACGCCAGATGTGAATATCATGCTAATTCTCCTGGACATACCATAGAGCAGTGTTGGCCATTCAAACACAAGGTGCAGGATTTATTGGAAAAACAAGACATCACCTTCGAGAAGCCCAACATCAAATCAGACCCTACGCCTTTGCACGATGGGTTGACAACAAATGCAACTGAAGTAGTCACTGACTTTGGGGCAAGCAGACAAGCGAAAACCCCGATAAACTCGCTGAAAGAATATATGTTGGGATGTGGACTCCCGCTAGAACATAATGAAGCTTTCAAAAGATCTCTACAAAGACTGGGGGACCAGGGGATAGTCCAGTTCGGACAATACCCTGAAGAAAAATATAATGCTGCTCTGAAGGGAGAAGCACATTTTCCTCCAATACAAGAGACCTTTGTCAACAAGGGAGTAAAGCATGGTAGACATGTCGTTATGATAGCCAACAAAGCCAACACCAAGGGGGAAATTGACTTCATCTGAGAAGGCGCCCCAGAAGAAAAACTCAAAAGATGGACTGCCTTGGAGATTCCTGAGATCTTTTTCTTTCCTAATTAATTTTTCTTGTTTTTGAAAGAACCTATGTCAAGCCCGGGGCATAGGGGTTACTTGTAAGGGTTCCCCCGTTTTGTTTCAGACAATATCTGCAATTAATAAAAAGTTATATTTTGTTTTCAATTAAGATCCTTGTCTTTCTCTTGCATTTACTCCATAAATTTAAAAATGGCGATACTTTCTCTGCATATGCATTTTCAAATTTCATATACTAAATATGCACCAAAACATGATAAGTGTACAAATTCATGTCCAAAACCACTGATAATGTTACTGTTGCGACCCGATATAATTTTGATGCTTATATCAACCAAGATAAAGGGGAAAATGATAAAGATCTTGAACTCTTTGAGAAAATGGCAAGGGAAATAGAACGAAAGGTTGACAACACACAACCGTATCAAGAGGCTATTAAGACTATTAATATGAGCATAGGGGAAGACCCAAAAAGAAACCAAGCTAAGGGGCAATGTTAGAGCGGATCCACAAAGAAGATGATCAAGTTATTGCGCATATCTTCTTGTTCCTACATAACCAGGCCAAGGTTAAATACAGACAGTGCTGTAAAAATAAGCAACTACGAAATATCAAGACCTGACAAAGTACCCGAGCCAGGGGCACGTTGGATATCCACATTCAACGAGGCTTCAAAT